TGCTTATCGGGACAGGCGGTTACACTGAAGGTACACAGCATTTCTTTTCCACAGTTACATTTCAGTCTTCTGCTCAGAGAGCTCTGGGGGCTTTAAGTCCCACTCCCTCTCCCCAGTACACCACCGCTGGGGCGGGGGGAAAGTGTCATAGTAGGAATGGGCAACAGGGAGAGAAATCCCTTCAGAGGAGGCGGCTAGCAGGCGTTCCTGCATCTCTGCTGCTGTGTTGCTGTTATCTTAGGTTCGCATCCGCGGCAGTCAGCGACAGCCTAAGGATGACAAGTGACAGTGTGGGCGCAGGCATCACCGGCTGTGTGGAGGGTGGGGGTACCCCGTTCCTCGCATCCGGGGTATCCATAGCAGCTCCGAGTGGACCGCCCTTGGTCTCTTCCCCAGGAGCGATGCTCCGTCCTTCACCCCTTGAGCGTCCCGGTCTCACAGGGCCACTGATAATGGACCCCTCTGGATATTTAGGAAGAGTTAGTTGAATTATTCCCACTGGCATTAAAACATGGCTTTGCGTCAGCCCCACGCTCAGCGCCAAAGGGCCCAGTAAAATGGGGTGGAAGGAGAGGGCAGATTTTCAGGGAGCGTGAATAGGGAGATCTGCCTCTGCAGAGCTGAAATCCGCCCTCAGCTGCAAGACGCCCCGTCTTAATGACACTCCTCGGTGTGCAGAACAGCCACCCACGTGGAAGGAAATATACCCTTGGGACACGGCCACAGGGATCTCCGTACTAATACCTGGGACACGCGTGTCCGGGATAGCGCGGGGCCTGTGGGAGAGGCCCCGTAGGACCTAGCCGCAGCAGCCCCAAGGAGAGCGGGAGAGCCAGCGAGGACGGCTGAGACAGTGCTGCGCTGCTCCGGCGCTGTGTGCTGCGAAAACGGGGGCACATTCCCGTCCCCATCCATTTTTTTCTCGGCGGTTGAAAGGTTTCCTCGCTGTGTCATGAGAAAAGATGCGAATATGCAAACGTCGTCTCGCATTGTCCCCGCTCAGGGTGAAAAGTTAAAGCATAAAAGCGGCTGGGGGAAGCTGAGAGGGGGTCGCCTCTTCAAAGGAGACTGGCTGGGCCGGGGGAGCCGGCTGCCGCTTACCCGGGAACCGCCCTTCCAGGGCCAACATTTCCCCAGGGTTTCCAAGGCGTCGGGGAGGGAAAAAGTGAGTGTGCGTGGAGGGGCAAGTCGTTGGGTTCCCCGCGGGCTCGGCCACGCCACAGAGAGGGAATCGCACCCTGAGGTGGCAGGCTCCAGAGGCTGATGATTGCCCCCTTGGAGAGAACCACCCTCTGCCTCAGTCCCAAGGCCCCCGCGGTCCCAAGGACGGAGGGATGATCCGGCCTTGCTCCCGCGGTGAATCCGAGGGCAGTGGGTGTTTCAGACGAAAGCACCCCCAGTCTTCGTTCTTTCCCAGACCCGGGGCCCAGCCTAGGCGCGCTCGACCTCGAAACTCTGCAGGCACACGAGGAGGAAAGAGACAGCACCCTCGGAGTGGGGATTTCTCCTCTTACCTCGCCTTCATCGGCCGTGACCGAGTGGGACCGGGATCGGGTGGGAACCGCAATGGAAAAAGCAGTAGGCCGTCGCGATGGGGTTTGTTGCTTAAAACTACCACGACAAAATGGCTTTGTGGATTTTTAATCAAAACTCCCTCCTCTTCCGCCCCTTCCCCCTCCACCTCCCAACCCCGAGTACGGAGAAGAGCTGGTTAAAGTGCTGCCTGCAGATCGGCCGTGATACACGGCTCCCATATTCCCACCCTCGCCCTTAGATCTCTCTCTCTGTCTTTTGCAAGTCTCTTGATTTCATCCTTTGAACCTGTGATTGGAGGTTAAAGTGCACCAGGTTGCAATGGAAGGAGGAAGCTCTTAAACAATAAAGGCTTGAATATTTAGCTGTGATCAGGTCGCTGCCCTCTCCTTATCTTTTTAAATGCAAATCGTCTTTTAGGGGTAGAAGCTATATACCCAGCGCCTCTCCACGTCACCTGCCTTTGGTGTGTCTGGGCCATTACTAATAGAGCCTTGTAAACAATCGTTAATCATGTAAGGGCTGCAGGCCATTGGATTCGGACC